TATATCACTGAAGATGACCCCACTTGGTCATAGAGTGCATTTTTGGTATATCTCTCGCTCCAGCAAATTTTATGATCCATTACCGATTACGTAAGATACAGGGGTGGTTCCATTTTAAATGGGTCACACTGTATATATAAACAGTGTGTCCGTAAGGTGGAACAAATTATTTTTTAACTAAACAGGCCATTTTTAGAAATAATCCTGAAACACGTGGATTTTTTAACATAATTTACCTTTTTTCGAATTAATATTCTAATATTCAGGGTGAATTACTTGCGAGTTATGACGTCACCGCCATTTTTTTTCAATAGAACACCCCCATTTTCTCTCAATTTTCGAATTACCCTAGCTGAGCTGATTCCAAAAACGTATCACATGTAGATTCCAATTGGTACAGGGTGAACAAAAATACAATAGATTTGTGTGTGCTCATAAAGTAACTGGTAACATTCTTGATTAGTTAAATTAACAATATTATCAAGAATACTTATTGTCTAGCGGCAATTGTTTCAAATGTAACACCCTGTAGTTTGTTACATTTTCAGATTGATGAAAATGATCTATTTTCATGTTTGGTACTTGTGGTCTCTAGCAGACAGAATATAAAGGAAATTATTTCTTATCAATTAAAGACGAAACATGGTTGTCCAGTTTTTTGTGAAATGTCATTATTTGATGTTTATCAATTCATTGATGTTCAGTGACAGTTTAGTACCACAATATTTTTGGTATTCGTAATTTTTTTCATTATTGCTTAGATTAATGGAGACAGATCGCGAACTCAGATGGAAGTGTGCAATTTGTTTAATGATAAATATCCAGAAAGACCTAGAACGCGTTGAACATCAGTCAGTAAAGTTGAGAAGAAATTTCGAGAAACTGGTACGGTTGAAAATGCACGAAAATCAGGTCGTCCCTCTGCAAATGCTGATACAGCTAGATGTTTTACTTACTTTTGAAGAGGATGCGCACACTTCTGTGCGTTAAGTTAGTCGCGATATCGGTGTTATTTTGCGAAAAAATGTTGGAAAAATGTCACCGAGATCCTCTCTTGATAAAAATAGTTATTTATTATACAAGGGAAAAAAGTAGTAGATTTTAGCTCCAGGTTGTGTTGTCCCGACGCGTAGCGGAGGGAGACAAAAAACCGTGAGCTAAAATCTAATATTTTTCCCGTGTATAATACACTATTTTTTTCTGTGACAGAAGAAAAGACGAATCAATATTGAGAAGATATTACATTATTTGGAAATCTGAAAATTATCGACGTGAAATTTTAAGTTTTAAAACAGTAGGGACACCTGTGTTGTAGGCATCTTCATCATTCTTTTGAAGTAATCAAATATCTGATGTCACTTCTGTCAGTCTAATTCATTAATTTGATTTCAAAAAATTGCGAATTTAGTGGTTGTTTGGTGATATACGTAACCGCGAAGTCGAATGGAAGATAAAAGGACTTGCAGTTCTTTCTCGGAGACGGTATTATTGACTCATTTTTCGGAACTATAGCACAACAAAAACCATCAACAGTGTATATATATGTGATATATATCCGTGAAAAAGGTACTCACTTTTTTCCCACGGGAAAAAAGTAATTTATGAAAAGTGACATTTTATAACCTGCCAACAGAGATGAATTGCCAAACTTCTTTCCCGTCACAGAAAAAACATTATTTTTTCTGATGAGGCAACTTTCACTTTGAATGGCGTGGTTAACCGTCAGAATTGTAGATACTAGGCAAGAGAAAACCCCTACTGGATGCGTGAGCATCATACACAATACCCGCAAAAAGTAAATATATGGGCTGGAGTTGTAAGAAATCGAATCATCCTCAGACGAATAAAAGAAATTTATTCGTCTGAGGAATCATCGGACCCTCTACTTTATCGACGGTAAATGACCACTTTGAGTTTCCCAGCAGACGTAATCCTGGTGGTTTTGATGAAAGTTTATGGTTTCAACAGGATGATGCACCTCCACATTATGCTTAAGATGTTAGAAGGTACCTAGATAAATTGTTTTCGAACAGGTGGATTGGTCGACGTGGACCTATTGAATGGCCAGTGAGATCACCAGCAATCCTTTGGATTATTTCATGTGGGGCCATCTGAAGAATGTTGTGTAACAAACGACACCAGCAAATATTGAAGATTCAAAAGAAAGAATTCGGACAGCAATGAACAATAATATTTCTCAAGACATAATGAACAAGGTTCAACAAGAATTTGTACTTCGTTCGGGTTACTGGCAAATACAGCAAGGGCTATATACAGTTCGAACATTCATAAAGTAATGTATTCCATCATATTCTGTCCGCTAGACAATGGGTATTTTTGATAATATTGTTGAATTTACTAATGAAGAATGTTACGCGTTACTCATCAGTGATTCAGGAACCCTATGCTGGAACAACGTTGTAACCGCCAATATCTATAAAAACGGTATTTCCATGGAACAAGGCTGTTTGCCCCCACTATCAAGACAGCGGATTGTATAGGTCGCATACAGCCTTGTTCCATGGAAATACCGTTTTTATAGATATTGGCGGTTACAACGTTGTTCCAGCATAGGGTTCTTATTAAAAATAAAGAAAAACGAATATTACTATGAGAAAATAGGTACGTCACACCGACGTGATTTTTGAACGTCATAGATACGTCACTGCAACGTCATTAAAGTGACGGTTACAATATAGGAACACGACTATTTCATCATTTGTATATATACATATATAGCTTGATTGGTTTCCAATATATACAGGGTGTCAAAGTTGGAAAAAAAGTTTTCTCTTACTTTTTGTGTATATATAATTTCAATAGAGAACTTGCATGTTGATTTGTTTAGATGAGTTATACTTCTATCGACGTAAGAACCATATAAATGAACTTACCAAGACGCAAAAGTATTTATATATGTGTGAGAAATTGAAAAAATATCAAGATGGTTGATCATCATTATAAGTCTCTCTTTGATTATTTTGGCAATACTATCAGTAAAATATTCATTAAAATCATTAGCAATTTCTGAATCATCGTGGCGGATAATCATAATGTCATCCTCATTTTGAAATCGAATGAAATTTAGAAACTCCCGAACATTTGTATCAACCAGTTTATTCAGTGTTTTTCACATTTGTGTAGCATTATACTGGAACCTATCTATTTTCTCATAGTAATATTCGTTTTTCTTATTTTTTAATAACTGAACCACTGATGAGTAACGCGTAACATTCTTCATCAGTAAATTTAACAATATTATCAAAAATACTCATTGTCTAGCGGACAGAATATAATGGAATACATTACTTTATGAATGTTCGAACTGTAGCCCTTGCTGTATCTGCCAGTAACCCAAACGAAGTACAAATTCTTGTTGAACCTTGTGTATTGTGTCTTGAGAAATATTGTTTATTGCTGTCCGAATTCTCAATTTTGATTCTTCAATATTTGCTGGTGTCGTTTGATACACAACATTCTTCAGATGGCCCCACATAAAATAATTCAAAGGATTGCTGGTGATCTCGCTGGTCATTCAATAGGTCCACGTCTACCAATCCACCTGTTCGGAAAAATGTTATGTAGGTATATGTAAATACAAATATTGAAGTTCATTTATCAACTTCGAGAACTGATTTTGAAACATAAATGGACGGCTTTTCAGTTGGTTGCAAAAAACATTATCCGACGATCGTAGCACTAGACATATCCATATTCGGTCGGTTGGTCATTCAGTCATTTCCTTTCAACTGGCAACACTGTATGTGTTGACATATTGACGTCACTATCAACTCTGCGTGAAAGCCCGGAAGCACCCCAGGAGCGGCAAATTTAAAAAAATATTGAAATTCAGTTCTAGTACTTTTTCGAATCGAGATCTAGTACTATATATTTTCGGTCAGAAACAGCCCTGAACAGTGTTGCCAACTTAGTGGATTCCACGCTAGAACTGGTGTTTCATGTTATCGTGTTGTGACAAGATATGGTATCAAGTGGATTGTTCATTTCGGTGAATTCTTCCAAATAAATGGTGAAATCTGGTGGTTGAGGACATGAATCCGAAATTCTACTTCTCCATAACAAATTGAGCTCATTTCTACCTTGAACGAGAGAAAGGAAAGTTTTGTCCTCTTCCATCTTTCTCTTCAATGCTACCAACGTTGTCGCATTGGAATATAGAGAGGTCTGATAAAGCTATCCTTGTCTGACCTCTAGTCGCGCCACTGAACTATTCTCGATATTATTATGAGATATGTCTATGTCATGTATGTCATTGACTGGTGACATTTCGAATTTTCAAAATGAAATTTTGATTTATTTCATACTTATTTAGACATAATTTGTTAATATCGTTAAATTTGACACGCTGCTGAATTGAAAATGAGTAGATGTTAGACAAGAAAAGATTTATCGGACCTCTTTATATATCAATGCGGCCACGTTGGTAGCATTGAAGAGAAAGATGGAAGAGGAGAGAAATTTCCTCTCTCTCGTTCAAGGTAGAAAAGAGCTCGATTCTCATTTCAAAAATGGAAACCTAGAGATGTTCTTGTAGAAAAATCAGTATTAACTGGAATCAGTTCCAAATTTTGGCTGTTTTTGTACTATATATCAATTAATGCTCTTTTTACTTTTCGTGTTTTATGCTACCGAGTAACATATACAATTCCTGTTGAGAAAATAAAATTCTCTCATTCACTGAGATCGATTTTTTATTCGTTGACCAACGAGACTTCCTTCGGCGCCTTTTTTCTCAATTCCTCATCATGTTTGGTGTTTTCAGGTGGCTATTTTGCAACTTTTGAAAACCTGTGTTGGCAACACTGGCCCTGAAACTTCATTTGTCAATGTCATGGTCCTGTCATTGTCAATCGATTAAAAGCATTTGCACGTGATTTGATATTTGATGCAAATTACCAAATCAAATTTTTATAAATATAATATAGATATCAACCAAATTCACTTTACTGTCCCATTTTCAGTTTCCATACACATCAAACATGTTATATTTGGAAGACTATTTGGAGAGTAAGTGAAATTTTGATGATTACCCCTTCTACATTCTGCTCTACAATGGCGCTAAATTCGAATTTTTCTAGTGATCGAACATTTACCTCAGGAGCTCAGAGATCGCTTTACTGATATGAGAGAGATGGATTTGGGTATACACAGTGAGTTATTTCTGATGTAGTCAAAATGGTGATGTTATTATAAGACTGTATAATTTAAGATAACATGGATGAACTTGAAAAACGTGTGAAACTATTTTTCAATGACTGCAAGAGATATTCCCTTGATAATCTACCTCAAAATGTCGATACAGAGTTTCAATCTATCAGAAAAGAATACTATAAAAACTTGGAAGATGCTGATGAAAAGGTATTGCTTATGAAGTATATTCTGTCTTGTGCCCTATTCATTCAAAGATTCATACCATGTAGGTATCTTATAATGAATGTTTTATAGGTACATTTGGCTAGTCAAATGTATGATTTAGTAGATAAATATTTGAGAAGGCTAGATTCAGAACTCTATAAGTTCAAGTGTGAACTGGAAGCTGATAATAAGGGAATCACAGAAGTTCTGGAAAAACGATCCCTAGAATTAGATACTCCAAACACCACACCTAGTATAGCATTGTTACAACAAAAGGAAAACAGATATGATAGGTGAGTAATAGTTTGTATTTTGTTAGTAATAATTACTGACTTCTGTTTTCAAATATTCTTTTTCTTTAGAAAGAACATTAATTTATTAAAATGCATTAATTCAAGTTGATTCATTGAAAAGTCTTTCCAAGTTACCTATAGCATGAAAATCTTTGGCATTTAATTGATGTATTTGGTAGTCATTGGAATAAGTATTGTTCAGTGAAACTATGGTGTAGGTACATATTTTTACAGGTGATTTATCAATGTTTGATAAATTTTCAGTAATTTTTGCACTTATCATGTGATGAATTTTTTTTCAAAAAATTTTTATTCGTATTTTTGTCTGAAAAACATGAATTTGATAATGAAAATGTGAACAAAGCACTATTTATCCAGATATTTCAAGAAAAAGTTCGAAATTTTGCCTTATTTTCCCCCTTGTGTTGGATGCATTTGCTCTTTTTATTTTGTCATTGGACACTTTATATACTCATGATGTACTTCAATGACACTTTTTAAGCTAGAAAATTCAACAGGAAATATGATTTTTATTTTTTATGGCCAGTTTTTCCTATTTAGTGAGCAAGCATTTAATCCATAGGCAATCCAAATATGAGATGTCAAATGTCAATAGATTGCTTTGGAATGACATTACACACGCCATTATTTCAAATGATATTCTTCCTTCTTTTCACTAAACATGGATAAATTCACAAGAAAATCATATTTCTAGTTGACTCATATGATAAAAAAAATGTGTCCAACATTGTGTGATATATATAAATTGTCCAATGATGAAAAAAACAGGGCAAATTGTTCTAAATGTGATCCAAAGACAGGCGAAAAAGAAGGTGGAATTTGTAACTTTATAGTGAGATATCTTGATAAATAATGGTTTTCTCACATTTTCATTATCAAATTCGTGTTTTTCAGACAAAAATACATAAGTACAAAAAAAAAAAATCCGAAAAAAACCAATCACATGATAAGTGCAAAATTACCAAATTTTCTGTTCAATATAACAATAAAAGCCCTAATTCCAAAATGTACCACCCTGAGTATCTTCTGATCTGTGGGGATCACAATTTTTGAAAAAAATAGGTCTATTTAGATCTTGAGAAGGAAGTAGAATACTAGCAGTATCAATTGTTCATGTTCTATGTTCATCCCTCTCACCTCCAGATGAAATTCCAAATGGCACTCTCTACCTTTGTCATAAAATTCAAAGTCTAGAGATAACCAAACTAAACAGATGAACAAAACTATTTGTTCTCTACCTAGATATATCATATCTGCCTGAATCTGATGAATCTCATGGTATGGGTTGTAATTTGAAATAATAAAGTAAGTGTGGCAGGGTTAAGGGAAAGAACATAGCATTCAGTTGATACTGGTATTTTACTTTCCTTTCAATATCTATGTCAACCCAGTCAACACACGGACATTCGATGGACATCCATTGGACGTCCATTTAGGATATTTGGGATATCCAGAGAATATCCAGTGATATCCGATGTATATCTTATGGACGTCCAATGGACGTGCCGAGTGGAAGGAGTTGGACTTCTATAGGATATCCTTTAGGGACATCCATAAGACATTTTTCAGGGATATCCATAAGATATTGTTCACAAATAACCATAAGACATTTTTCAGGGATATCCATAAGATATTGTTCACAAATATCCATGAGATATTTTTCAGGGATATTTACTAAATATCCTTAACAATATAGAACACCATGTATATTATTCCATAATGAATTAGGAACTATTATAACCTCGATTATAACGAATTCAACGGTACCGGATTAGATAGGGTTATTTCAAACGATTACGAAGATATTTGCATTCGAAGTTTTGATATGCTCATTGAGGATATGGAAATGTGAATATCTTCCTAATCGTTTGTAGAAATCCTAACAAACACAGTATCGTTGAATTCGTTATGATAATCCTTAACCGATTATGGAATAAAATAGAGGGTGTCCCGTTTGAAAATGCCATCCTCAGTTAAACCAAAAGTGCGGTAAAGCAAGTAGATATGTCGAATAATATAAAATGAACTATAATTCATGACCCCAATTGACGTTTTACTACCTACAATAATGAAAAAGTTATAGGAGTGAACCACCTTAAAAAATCACCAGGTAGGAGTATGTAAAAAAATAAAATTTATTCAATTGTTGCAAACCGAGTTGCAAACCGAATAACAAATGTTATAATGTGAATATAAATCAAACTAAATAAAATTTTTTATATATAAAAAAACAAGTATACATTCAACAAAGTATAAAATAATAAATATTCTAATTGAATTTGCAAATAACAAAAAATAAAACAGGTCACTATAAGAGAATTAAACAAAGGAAATAAAGGAATACTGTTACGATGTGAATATAAAACTAACTAAATTAAAATATGAATATATAAAAAAGAAGTAAACATGCAAAAAAGTATAAAATAATAAATATTCTTATTGAATTTGCAAATAACTACAAATTAATAGTTATTTTGACATAAAAATGATTTTATGTTTTCTTTGGATATCTTATGGCTATCCGATGGCTATCCATAAGATATCTTCTGATGGATATCCGCTATAAATCCATGGATGAATATCTCATGGATGTCCACCACAAAAAAGTAATTATATAAGAGCTATTTTCGAGTGATTGTATATTTTTGTACGAAAACATTGAACAACAGAGAAAAATTCCAAACTGTGGTGTTGTTATTTATATGAATTCATATTTGCATCGGATATCTCAATTGTGGCTATAAACATATTATTCCTACATAACAATAGTTATATGATGGAAAACTACCTTTGAATTTCTAATAAACATGTGATTTGCATGTGATATTTGTGATGATTCGTATTGTTTTGAACCATTCTCAATTAACAATTTTTGTTCGCTAAACGAACATCTTATGGACGTCCATAGGTGATCCGCATCAGAATATCCATTTGATATCCTCTGACGGATATCCTATGAATATCCATTTCATGTCCCAGGATATCCCGACCTGAAATGGACTTGAGAAGGATATCCATAGGATATCCTGTGTTATCTGGGAACCTATTTTTTTTTTTTTGAAAATTTTAATCTGCAGATCAGAAGTTATTCATAGTGGTAAGTTTTCAAATGAAAGCCCTGTATGATAATAAATATATGAATTATAGAGTAGCCTACAACATTATTCAAATAATTGTAGTGGGCATTGTAAGGTTAGGTTAATTAGGTAAGTTGGCATCATATGGAAAAAACTGTTGATAATTCATTTGGAGTTTGACTTTTTTGCTAGAAAAAAAAAAGTTTAAAAAACTAAGAAGACAGGCTTTTAAATATAGCCGAAGATAGCCAAACTCCAGGCCAAACTAAACAGAAGTAGAAAATAAAATGATAAAAGAATAAAAGTGTGTTCATAAATACACAACATAGAAAATATTAGCACCTGCATAATCAGTAAATTCTATGTTGTGTAGTTGCCAAACATACTTTTATTATTGTATTTTCTACTTCTTTTTAGTTTGGCCATCTTTAAAAGTATGTTTCTCTAGTTTTTTGAACTACTATTCATTTTCCATTTTTTAGTTCAGCCTCCAGTTCAGCTAACTAAAAGAGCATGTTTTTTAGTTTCTCAATATTTTTGAGTACCTAATTTTGATGAAAACCAAAACCTCCAGATACAATTTTTTTAATAAATCATAATTACACAACTCGTCCGCCATATTGGATCCGCCATCTTCAATTTTCCAATTCTGCCGGGAGAATCTCAATCTCCGACCCTGAAAACCCCCATATACAAATTTTGAGTAGAATCGGATCATAAATACATAACTCGTCCACCAAATTGGATCCGCCATTTTGTTTTTTGTCTAAAAAAAATTCACGATGAATTGATACCAGAATTATGTAGTCCTGCCAAATTTCGAATCAATAGGACATTTTGAAGTGAGTCAAAATCACATTCAAAGATTCTCTTCACAAACAAACCCACAAACAAAATTTCAAAAAAGGGGGCCTGTGTGGTTAAAATTCTTGCCCGACAAAATATTGTGAGATATACATACATTATTATCAATTAACATCAGAGGAACACATTAGTTAAAAAAAAACTCCCATCCACATGTATTTTGAAAGAGTTACTATTTCTTTTCAAAATTCCTAAAAAGGGGGCCTGTGGGGTTGATTCTTTGCCGACAGAATATTGTGAGATATACACATCAAGTGCGCGGCTTCTGAAATTGGTTATTTTATATCCAATTGAAGAAGTGCAAACTTTGCCTTTGCTTTGCAGCTATCGCATTTTACGATTTATATACAGTGTGTCCACCTTAAGGACTTACCACCCCTGTAAAATCGTTATTATCCGACCGATTTCAAAAAACCTTTTTTTGTTGGATAGGTATTTGAAATGCCCATCCAACGAAAGAGTGATCTAATTCTTGGACTGTAATCGTGGCCAACTGCCTCAAATTTCAATGACCCATATTCCAGAAAGTACTATTAGGGATTTTTTTCCACGAAACTTGATGATGGATTCTGAATCAGTACCACTTGAAATATACCTGTACCGATTTTCATCATCATAAAACACAGGGTGGCCGAAAAAACGAATCATCATTTTCTTCAAATAGGTGATCAGCAAATGTAGTTCTGTGGTTTTTCTAGAAAGAAATAATCACAAACTATCATTGAGGATTATTTCAAATATACCTGTACCAATTTTCGTCTTTTGAATATACAATGTGTCTGAGAAAAAAATTAAAAAGGATAGGTAAGCAATATTTTTCATCCTGATAATTCTTCACTCAAAATAAAAAGATGAATCAGGATCACTTGGAACATACCTGTACCGATTCTCATCATCATTACACACAGGGTGTTCGAAAAATCAAAATAATATTTTTTTTGAGTTGATGAAAAAATATTGCCTACTTTTTCTTTTTAATTGTTTTCTCATGCACATCGTATTTTTGAATGATGAAAATCGGTACAGATATGTTCAAAG